ATGATGATGGTGTTGATGGCCACAATGGCGATAAAGGTGGAAGGGGGAAGAAGTTTGGCGCAGCCAGGCTCCCAGGCTGCCATGCTGCCTTGGTCCAAATGTCATATGCCAAACATGGAACACGGAGTGTCATGTTGGCTTTTGTAAATGGCTGGCGTTAAGCGCCATAAAAGCTGCACGAACAGTTGGAACAGCAAGAGCAGCAGCAATGGAGCCAGAAGCGGCCAAACAAATGCGAGCATAATAAAATTGTCTGTTGTTTTGTACCAAAAAGATTTTGCAGGTTGCCGGCTCAGGCAGCCGGTGACAGAAGCTGCGGTTGGAATTGGAACCATAAACTAACACAAATGACATGGACATGGACGGGCGGAAGAAGACCGAACACTACACAACAATGCCTGGCATGAATGTAAATGTGGGCCTGACACTTGAATGCAGCACAACGCCAGTAATGGCCAAGTACCCTAATGCCAACTATATCATACGCATTGCAAGGAAACCTCGCTCTCAAAAATCATAAATGCTGATCATAAAGCACAAATGAAGTGTTCTTCAACACCGGCAGAGGCAGCACAACTGAAACTCAATTGTCAACTGTCACAAAAAGCAGGCACTACCACTACTATCAAGGACTTCGAAAATGTTGTACCCTTACAAAACTATCCTCGTTTGATAATGGAAAGAAAACAAAACTTTAAACATCAACTCTTGATGTTTAACTATATTTTTAAATATTGTAAAACAATTTAAAGCATATTTTAGAGTATCTTTAAGAACTTCCTACACATAGATAACTAAAAGGTTCATAAGAAAATTATTTCCTTTTAACTCTGAAAAAACTTTCCATATCTTAACAAAAACTCCCTTGATGGATATTGCATTTTTATTTTAAGAACATAACAAATACAAATACTATAAAGCGTCAAGATAAATGAACAATTACATCAGACTTTAAGTAACTAAAAAATTTATCCATTCATGATTTCCAGGGGTAAATAGCGGAAAAATTCAAATGCCGAAATGGCATTCCTAAACGTGGATTCGTTATTTATCTGTGGTATTTGACATGCTTGTTTATTTGACTCGCATAACAGCAGAAACAACATCGGGCCAAACCAATTATGTGACAAGCAGGCAGAGGGACAAAAAGACAGGCATGGATAGCCGCACACACGTACGAAATGTGGCTTGGTTTCAATGACAAAGCTCAGCAAAATGCGCACGAAAAATTCGAAAGAAAAAACTGCTACAGCAAGTGCAATTTTCATAGCATACTTATGTGGGCAACATGCAGTTTCGCTGCTTTGCCAGCATCTCTCGTTTTGTCTCCCCTATTTGTCGAGCCGTCGCCTAGCTGCCACAAAATTCTCATGCAGCACACGCACATTTTTCCGTACATACATACATATGTTTTGCAAATACCGACACGAAACAGATACTCCACCCCCCTAGCCATTCCGTCTCGCACATTTTAGTTGCAGTTTTTGAGATTTGTTTTTAAGCACGTGAAAGCGTTTAACAACTGAGATAAATTAAATACAAAAATAAAAGAACTTCACAATAAGTTAAAAGTTGATCAAAACAACAGAAAAATTAAGAAAAATAATGAATAAAAATGTTAAAAATTGTCGTGATAATATAAATACGTTTTTGGAGTTACATTTTTGAAGAGATGACATTTTCAATTAAAAACAGTTAAATTAATTTATGATTTAAACTGCAAATTAATATTAATTTAATTAATTAATAACAATTATCAGTTTTAAATATCCTGCTCAAGTAAACAACCATCAATATTAAGTAACAAATACAAAAAGTTATTTTCTACTAACATACTGTGCATAGATTCCACTCAATGCACTAGTGCAAGGCTGTGCTCTCCATAAATTACTTTGCTTTCCTTGCTTTTAAATATTAATATATATATACCAGAGTTAAGTCTTTTTTTTATTCGGAAGATCACTCAAACGCACAAACACATTTATGTACTGTGTGGTAATCGAAATGGTATGCTTTTCTCATCGTTGTAGTATTCTTAATATCTTTATTTATCAAAACGGTTTCTTTCCAGGCTTCATTCAGTTCTTGAATTCTTTTCATATATTTAATTTTCGTTTCAAATTCCTTTCTCATTTCTAGATCTCTGCTTAAAGGGAATAGCTATTTACAAGCATTCCACGTTGGCAGAGGAAAACAAAACAAAACACTACGCTCACGACATGCCGTATGCGCAATATAAATAACTTGGCTATCAACAGAGTCAGTGGACTGACTAAAGTGAAAGTGAATGCCTAAGCCATGCACTTGAAGCAATTCGGTCATGTCATGCAATACTACGTGACTTTCTATGCAACTGTGTGTACATGGCAGAGCGCAAATATTTTAGACAGCTGTTATTTCTTTTATAACATTGCGCATACGCCCCGTGTCAAGGTGCAACATCCACAGCAACAGTGTGCAACAATGTTAGTGCAGTGTAGGTCAGCACTTTCACTTGCGCAAAATTCTAATAAATGCGACAGATTATAACAAAAGGGACGGTAGAGGGTAGAAACAGAAATAAATCCGCACAGAGGAAACGCGAACGGAAGTTAGTAAAATGTCTAACTGATTGCACAACAGGGTGTTCGTTTCTGTTGTCGTTACCTGACTGCATAATTGCAGGATGGCGTGACTGCTAGCCGGTTCGTGATTTTGCTTGCTGTTGTGAACTGCAAACTTCCTGCTGTTTGTTCCCATCTAAAAGCTGTCATTTGTCATGTTGTCGCTTACGCGTCGCTCATTAAGTTATGCAACAACACTTTGTGCATTAAGCTCAATGTCAAGAGCGCTTATCACGCATTCTTCAAAGTTCATAGTGTCAAGCAAGAGTTCCTCTACTTAAGCGCTTACAGGCTTTAAGGCTCTCGCACTTACCTTAGAAACAACAACTTAACAACAAGTAGACCGCATATATACTGCACCATATGAACAAAATCTACAGTAAGACACACTTGAAAGGCGCTTAAAAAACAAGCAAACCCACTCAAGCTCCCACACCCCCTACCATACGCACACACCACCAGAACCGCAAAGCCTTAAGGTAAACAGCAAGATACTCAAAGACACGCAATGCCAGATAAGAGCATCCCGCATCGTCGCATCGTCGCATCGCACGACGATGGTGCCAAGCAGGCGCTTTTTTGCCGCGCCATCTAATACACACACACACACACAGACATATGAATATATGTATGTAATATTGTTCATACTTGCGCACTTGTCTTAATTTGTGACAACTGCAAGCAAACAAAGCAAGAAGAAAGTAGTGGCTGCTAAAGAAAGTGCAGACTAAGCTTGTAAAGCACAAAACAAACAGAACAGATAGGGCAGAAATAATAGGATGTCCAATGCCCCAATGGATATTTTAAAAACCAACTATAAATTAAGGGCATTACAGCATCTTACATGCTCGCAGTTTACTCTTCCTTCCTATAGTTCATCACGATTTTTATTTGTATTTAACTTAATAGAGGGCAGCACACACTTTCTGCTCAGTTAGTTTTTCTAAATTGAACATTTCAACTTCTTCAGAAATTCTACACAAATCAATTAGACTCTTTAAAAGCAAACTTTAGTAATGTACAACCCTGGATATATTATACTAGTATCCAAGGGTTGGATTTGTTAAAGTTTTTTCATTGAACATACACTGTCATGCATTGTGTGTTTTTAGCATAGTCAAAGGCAAAACAGTGAAAATTCATAGCTGTTAATCATTAAAAGCTAACTGTAAATTTGAATAGTTCCCTGATGCTGCATTCTAATTGATACGACGACGCATATTAGGGCAGTCCTTTCCCCAAAAGAGAAAAACAAAACAAAAGCTAAAAAATCTTGTCCCTATTTAAATGCATCGTTCATTATTTAATTAATTTGTTGTAGTATCTAGTGTAGTTGATAAAATATTCCGATTTTCATAAAGCTTATGTTAATTCTGACAGAAGAAACTAATATTTTCATAAGTTATTTATTAAACTTTTTTATTAATGGTGCAAAATCTAGTAATATTCCAATAAAAAACGGTCTATAGAGAGTCAATAGGCTGTTCACATGCCACTGTAAAATTCGTTGGTAGTAGATAGAAAGTGACTGGGAAATGTTTGGAATTTAAGCAGTTTTCTGAGCTCAAACAATAATTATGGAAGGTACATTTTAAAAAAAAATACATGTTTTCATTTATCAGGATCAATGACAGCGTTTGTTACACCACATATATAATGAATGTAAAAAATTACCAAACACCAGCTATCTATTAATTGTATTTTAACATTTTTTAATAGATAATAACAAATTAACATATACAGTGAAAACTCCCTTAACGGATAACTCTTTTAACCGGACACCCCTCTTAGACGGACAAAAGTTGGTCGACGGTGAGTGTCCGGCCAACAGAGGTTTTACAGTAATTAATAAGTATTTAAGCTTTTGATAAGTATTACTTTTTTACCAGCAGGCGCTTCTTGAACAAACCAAAATCTTTTCAATTCGAAGTCTTTTAAAACGTTTGATGACAGCCAATCAAACTTGTATTACATTTTTACTTTGAAAAAGCAATTATCGTCCATTTATACAAAACAATTTATTAATGTATTTATTTATCCATAATCAATCACTTTTTAAGCAACGAATTATATTTTATGGGAATAACCAAAAATAAATTCCATTCATTTTCGTTCGAGTTGGCAGCGCCGTGTCAAACAGCTGTTGTCAGTTTTGTATTGCTGTTTGCTTTATTTAAATCATGTCTTAACTTAGATTTAAGATGAGCATGATGTCTGGATAGAAGGATCATAGCAAGAGTTGAATTCAAGGCTTTCAGTAAATACGATGAATGGGGCGTTCCATGAAGATCCATTATAATATAGCTACAGTGCAGAGCACTCCTTAGTACTACACGCATGCGTACTTACATATGTATGTATGTACATTCATATGTTTGTATGTACATTCGTACAGTGTTATCATTTTTTTCGCTGTCAAAATCAACTATAGAAATGTACATTTTTTAATATTTCATCTTTAGTTTTTCGATATTTGTCAACAAAATTTTTTTTCACTCCCCTTCCAAATTTTCGGCCACAAAATTCGCAAGCTCAGGGAAACTGTCGGCATGTCCGGCAAAACCAAAGGCCATAAAGTCATCACCGTTGAGTCGAAGTCGCATTATCAAAAGCTCATCGAAGATGCTGGCCAAACACATGTTCTGATCGAGTTCTATGCCACATGGTGTGCCCCGTGCCGCATCATTGGAGTGCGGCTCGAGGAATTGGCCCACGAATATGCCGATAAGCTGGTGATACTTAAAATCGATGTAGACGATCTGGAAGAGCTAGCCGTGGAGTTTGATGTTTCGAGCATGCCCACATTTGCAATTGTCAAGAACAAGGTGATAGTTGAGAAATTTGTGGGCAGCAATCCGGATAAAGTTGAATCCACTCTGGTAAAATATTGTGGCAAGCCGGACGCTACAGCGGCAACTGCAACTGCATCTGCTTCCCCAGCAAAATCCGGAGCAGGCTCATCGAAGGCAGTCGCCGAGGCCGCAAATGGCAAGAGCAAGAAGTGAAAGCGCCAGCCCAGTTAGCTGAACTGGAATTTAATTCTAAATTAAGTGGTGTATTAAATTTGTACGCTGTGCTCACTTAAAGTGACCCTCACGCTTATCTCTGGTCCACACACACAATGAGCCTTTGTTTGTTAGCGCATAATCTATGATCTACTTGCCAGCCAACTATTGTATTTCTGTCATCTTGATTGTCCATGTGTGCTTGTGCCTGTTACTATGCCTGCGCCAGTCAGGCATTATTTCTATTTAATTAATTAATCCGGTACATATGGGAACAGCTCGTTCCCTGCTGGCACTTAGGGAACAGAAAAGGCATTTAAGACACACTTTTTTCTCAACAACGAATTAATGCAGGAGCAGCCTTATACTTTATTTTATGTCGTAAAAAAGCCAAATATAGAACGAAACCAATGCCTTTTTAATCACTTCAAAGCAAAACTCTTCTCAGGGCTGCTATCGCTAAAACAAATATAGAGAAATTCACAATTAAAAACAAATACATATTTATCGAAAATGGCTTTCAAAATTTATTTGCAATACAATCGGTGACAGGATCTTATGCGATTTACAATTTATGAACATATTCTAACGAATTAAATTTAAATGTGCAAAATTGAAACCAATATATCGGATGAAACTATCACGCATACTTGTACATATATCAACAACACGATTCAAAAAATATTCGTATTTCTGGGTTTTTTTCGGCTTTTACATGGAGAGGCAGAAAGTGTCGCCTATTTGTTGATAAAACCTACAGAAAAATTCGTACACAATTTATAAAAAAAATGCGTATATTTGTTTAAAAAACAAATAAAACATTTATATATTTCTACCCTTCACTGGGGCTACATTTGGACGAACACAGGTCGAGACCGATCGAATCAGAGACCCAGAAATTACTAAGCTGTCCTAAAAACGGTATCAAAAGCAACTTTATTTTCAAAGACTTGAGAACTAAAATGTAAATTCAGAATGTTTTAATCACATGTATCTAATAATGTTCAACACTTTTAATTAAAAAATGTTTTGCTATGAAATATAAAGTAAGAAAGTATGGAATTTATACATAGCTATGAATAGCTACAAAGTTAGCTCGTTTTCTAAATACCGATCATCTTTTAGCTCACCTACTTTTCATTCTACTTTTTATGTTCTCAAGATGTTATATTGTCCAATTAAATCAGTTCAGTTTTGACCATCATCACTGCACTTGACAGCTTGTCCTGACGCCAATACCGCAGCTCGACAACTGTAATCTGACACTTTGTTTTAGTTAACGTCAAAGTATGGAACGCTTTCTGTCAGCTTCAGTCTCATCGGCATTATCATCAATATGCTCATGATCTTAGCAACCGCGTTGTCAGCTCCATCCTTATTGAAAACTTATTTGTTTGTTTTTCCTAGCATTTTTCATCTGTTTTTTCTTTTTTTGCTGCTGCTACTGCCAAAGCGAAAAATCGAAAAGTTTTACTTGCGTTTAATATGAGAATGGAAGAGCGCACGCAAATTCCTTGACTTTGAGCAGACATTTGCATTTTTATTAAAAAATTGCAGCTGCACTTTCTGTTCGAAATGTCGTCACGGCGTATCATTGCCAACGGCTTTGAGGGCAAAGGTCAATAGTGAGCAGCAGCATATTGTGAAGATGAATTTTGCAAAGAATTCGATACGCGACAGTAATTAACAACTTGTTCTGTAGCATTAAAATATATAAAGGAAATACAAGTATATAGGACATGTACTTCATTCTCCATTTCCCGCTCGCCGTTTTAAAAAATTCAGCAGTGGAAAATATATTATTTATAATTTGAAAAGCTATTTAAAAAAATGTATATATTTTTTTATATGAGAAATTGAGGCAAATTTTTTAAAGGGCGTTTTCTCATAATGCTCCTCTCAAGTGATCTTTAGATCATAAAAAAGATAATAATAATCGTTTGAACACATGGTCGAAACAAAATTTCAAGCAAATGGTACTGTCAAGGTTGCTCCTTTAATGGAATTATTCTAGTTTAAATGATTGATTATTGTTATGGTAATATAAATATACCCATTCGAATTATTATTTTTATTATGTTTCACAAAAGAGAATGGAAATGTCACTGCAATCCTAGATGGTCCTTTGTACCCAAAATGTATGTCCTTCCACCTCTTTTAGAAAGATGAAAGCAGTGCTGGTATCTTTCCAATCCTTCCTACCAGCGTTATCTTTCAAATGACTCAACTTTAAGGCAAAGCCGTACTAAACAAAATGTGCAATGAAAATATTTAGCTTGAATAATTACAAAAATGCAGTAACTCTATGGAATATCTATGCCATATGCAGAGTAATAAATTCTGCTTGCCTAGCCAGCAACGGCACTTGGAGCTGGAAAATTTATATGCCAGTTGCCTGTCTCGGCGTCGTTTGGTCGAACGGTTTGGATTTGGGTTTGGGTTTGGTGGTCGGATGGTCCGGCGGTTGCGTGCTTGTGTGGGTGGGTGGTTGAGCGTCCTATACACGCCCACGCCTCGTGCTTTGTTATGCAAGTTAATCCTTTTTATAGCTATTGTTCAGCACATCAACGCCCCTAACATACACACACACACACACGCACACATGTATATACATATACATGCTACATCCATATATACTATACGTCTGTTCGTACATCTAAAGAGACGCACGCCCTATGCATTTGTTTCAGTGGCAGCTTCGGAGCAGCTGCGGCATGTCAGTGCATTTTTCAACAACGGCGTTGGCGACACAACCAACATATTAGCTGCCACATATAGTCGCATCTATATAACTGTGTGCGCGTGTCAGAGATGGCCAATTCCAAGCAAGCTGTAATTCCTGAAAAGTCGATTGTCTTTATGTTAGTCTTGGTCTTTTTCATTTTCTTTCTTATTACTCCTTCGATGTAATACCAAAATGTTTGTATATAGTAGAATTATAGTTGAAATTGAATTCTTTATTGTGATGATTGAACAAGTTCCAAGGTAACCATAAAATTTAATAATTGTCCATTTAGAGAGAAAAATAATTGAATTATAAATTGAAGTCTTTATTACAATTTTCTAAACACATCGCATTGTAAAATATCTTATAAAATATTTAAAAATTCTAATATTATTTAAATATTATATAAAAATATGACTACAAAAACATGTTGTCTTAAATAAATCGAGAAAGCCACAAGCCAAATAATAGAATAAATAACAATAAAAAAAGAGATACATATGAATATTGACGAAATTAGGATAGAAGTCTACTAAGTCCATAAATTTTTAATTTAAAAATCACAATAGACCTAATTCTGTTTTTACACGGTAGATTGGTTGCAGAAAAAGCCGTGTAAAAAAGACATTGATCATATGTTATTTTTAATGGTGCTAAATGGAATAAAGTCGTGCAACCACATATACAATTTTTAATTTTCAAACCGTGTTAAATCAAAACCGTGTAAAAACAGAATTAGGTGTAATCCTACCTACTATGGTATTTCACGATTTTCACACTCACGCTTGTCACCCATCTCTAGTGTTTGTGTGTGTAAGTGCGTGTGTCGGTTGATGTATGTGCATCGTCTTTATAACTTGGCTAAATCTGGTGCATGCTGTCGGCGTTGAAAGTGTTTGTGTGGCATGCCGCAAATTCATTATTATTTTACCCACACATATCCTCCATACCCCATTCCACCATCCGAGCAACCATCGAACAGCTGCAACAACTGCAGCTCCTATATAAACACTAACAATATGAAGTGATGCTTAAGGGGCCAAGTCAAAGCGAACAGTTGTCGACAAGTGCTAGCACCAAAGTGAGGGCGTGGCCAAGTCAAAGGATTCCTAAGTAGGTGCCAAGACATTGCACTTCAAACTGGTAGAGCGACTGATATAGCCAAATGGTATTAAATCAGAGCTCAGTTATATTTTAATGGGCACCAAAATGCTTAAAGGAATGTGTACGCATACTTCAAACCTAACTCACTGCAAGACCTTTGATTTAAGCCATCATATTTATTCTATTTATTTATTTACAGCTAACAGGGTTTGAACAGCTATGTTAAGCCATCATGGCAACTGTAATTTACGAGCAAACGAAATGATAATTGTAGCAAAACTGCCGTGGCCTCATTTTATTTTGGCAATACCTACGGTAATAGAGCACTGCTTGCCAAAAACAAAAAACCAACAGAAAATTCTAAGCTAATATATTACACAAATTGTGGCAAAAACTTATTACGTACACGAAAATACAAAAATAGCTGCATGCTTAATATTTTTCCTGATTGTTTTGAAGTTGAAAGTAGTGAAGTTAATCGGAACTAAAAGACTGTATATCATTATTTAGAACTGTAGCTGGTTATATTATTTATTTTTATCAGAATTATACATCAAAATAATATATATTATACAAATTGTGGCAAAAATATTTTACATAATACATGAAAATACAAAAATAGCTGAATGCTTAATAGTTTTCCTGATTGTTTTGGATTCCAAGTTTTTATAGGAAGTCTAAATTTAAACGTAGAATCGAAACTAAAGACTGTTTATCATTATTTATTTATATTTGGAACTGCAGCTAAATGCGTCAGTTGGTTATATTATTATTTATTTTTATATATTATTATTTATTTATTATATTATTATTTATTTTTATTTGATATTTTTTTTAATACAAAATTTACTCTACTGTTAAATTTTTCACTCTAATATTAAGTATACGCCTCACTTTGGGTAAAGGATATCAAAATATATTTATTGATGTTAAGTTTAGTTTTTTCAGAGCTATAGCCGTAGAAAACAGTTTTTAATTCCGAATTTAACAGGAAATAACAGGAATTTCAACATGTGAGTTCGTTTCGGAGTATAATTACAAAAATTGTGATTTAAAAAAAAATACTTATAATTTTAAAAATTCTGTAAGAATAGTCTCATATATAAAAAAAAAATCGAACCGTCGTGTTTTGTAATAAGAAAATTAATACAAATTTTTGAATTTGACTTATTATTGATAAGACATTACACATATAGTAAATGGATATCCAGCTACGTTTTACTTGTTTGTGGTTTCAAATGTGACTCTTTAATTCCGATAAATTTTAAGTTTTTCTTGAAGCCAGTCAATAGTACAACTTACATATGTATGTATGTATGTACTTTGTATCCCTTTGACCATACTTATTGAGAATATAGTGGAGCGTGCATTCTGCTCGATAAACACCGAAGCGCTTGTACTCGTATATTTTAAAATTTCTGATTTCTCCGATTTACAATTCCGTTCTGTTTCAATTGTTCTCGTTCAACGCCATCCTTTCTATATTATGTTCCATATTTATTCACTTGTTTGAAAATTGCGCTGAATTCCTGGAAAATGTGTTTTTTTTTTATTAAAATGTATATCCGATGGTAAATCACATTATTTGATACATACATATGTATGTATACACATGTATGCAATTGCTGCCCAGAGTACCAGCTTTGTTTCAAATGCAAGAACGTGAACTGAAAAGTTATCCTACGGTCCACTCCCGGAGGTGGCGAGCGCGCTCATCGAGTTCGGGCTCCTCATCACTGCTGCTGCACTGACTCAGGTCGCTGACGCTGTTGCCACGGCGGGGCACCATCACCAAGGGCGGGGCATGCTCGTTGCATCGATCGCCCGAGTGTAGGCGCTGGTAGAAGCCTATGCGCATAAAGCGATCGCGGAGGTTGCGCCGCTGCTCATCGGTTATGGGCGAAGGCACTTCCTCAAATCTGCCCACATTGTGCGACATTAAGGTCGGTCGCCGAGCCGATCGGAACGTTAGGCGACGCATGCGCTGTTGCAAGCGGTTCGGTCTAGTACTGGAACGGGCGCGAATATGCCATTCGCCGTTACTGTTGGAAGTGCTGCCGCTGCTGTTGTGGTTGTTCCTACGGTTGTTGTTGGTATTGGTATTGTTGTTGCTGTTGTTGTTGATGCTGCTTCTAGTATTGTCGTTGTTGTTGCTGCTATTATTATTATTATTGTTGATATTGATATTGTTATTAATGGCATTACTATTATTGTTGTTATCATCATTGTTGCTATCATCGTTGTTGTTGCTGTTATTATTACTGTTGTTGTTGTTGCTGTTGTTATTAGTGTTGTTACACAACCTTTCGCTGAACCGGACTGTGGCCTCGGTAAGGCGCCGCATTGGTCCAACTCCAACAGGTCTGCTATGATTTGGAGGCGCCTGGGCGGGCACATCTGAGTTCTGCCCGTCAACTAATTGGGGCAGCTGTGAGCATGCAGGTGGTGGATCGGCAGAGCCAACTGGGTCGGCTGACGCCTCTTGGTCGACTGCGGCCACTGAGGCGACTGTTGAGCTGTGCTGAATACTTGGCAGGCGCAAGCCATCCAACTCAGAATTGGTTGTGCCACGTCTTCCACCCATCGTTCCACGCACAATACTACACACCAGTCCCAATCCCTGAATAAAACCACGTGGATCGGCTGTGTCACCAGCTTCCACCGGGCCTCCACCCACCGCATGTCCTAGCCCACGGTCTTGGCCGGTGGTGTTGCCAAATCTGAACGTGCTGGTGGGACTGGTCATAGCATTGAAGTTCAAAGGACGATCAGAGCGTTGCGGCAGGGAGAAGAGTCCGAAGTTCAGGGAAGGCAAGGGACGTGGCGTAGTCGAGCGAGGTGTAATGTCGCCATCATCACCGCTGCCACTTAGATTCGACTCTGTATTTTCGCGATTGTCAGCCATATTTTCAAATTTACGATTTAAATAAGTGTTCAAATATTTTACACTTTTGTTCGTTTTAACAGATTCGGTGACTGAAAATTTATATAGCCTGTGCTTTCCTGTCTATTCAATCAGTCAACTTTTTGATTTGGCAATGCCAACATTGTCGAAAATAGGTCTGCCAACTTGCCTAAAAGGGTGTACAGTCGCCTCAGCCGAGATAGCGCTTTTGAACTTTTTATACTGCAATAACTATGGCATCGATATAGATCATAATCAATAATAAGGGCAAACCAAAGTACTACAAAGATTACATTACTGGCTTTTATTTATTTCGCAACAGCGATATCACCTTAAACTTTGTGCGATTCCGATCAGCTGGCTTAAACATTTGAAACCTTGAAAAGCCGATGCCTTTTCCAAGTTTATGAACTAGTTCGAAAGTAGCTTAAGACTCATTCAAAAATAGTGCAGGCCAAATAAGAATCGATTGACGTTGGATATATAAGTAATACATTTTAGGTATAGTTATAAGTCATTAATAGAATAAATATATGGATGCATTGCCCAAAGCAGGCGAAGCAAAGGCAGATATACCAACTATTTTGAGCTCAAACAAAGCCTCCGACTTCTATGCTTCTTCTTTGAAATAATATTCACCATAGACGTCCCGGTAATGGACAATGCGCCAATATTTATAAAAGCAACTGTCTTAACAAAAGTGTAAAGCATTAGTAAACATTGAAAATTGAACTATTAAATATATATTTTACCCTCTAACTGGCACTTACATATGTATATAATGATAGAATTAAACAGATATGATTCTGGTTAGAAATAAAGTTGTATTAACTGAGTAATTCGAATGCGGTTCAGAGTTAAAAATTGCTGGTATTTCTTTTAGACTCTTTGAATTGTAATATATTTATGCATCTTAAAAAGTAGATAAATTCAAAAGCATGCCAAAAGCTAGCATTAATTGCTTAGTGTGGCCAGATTGTGCAAAGTTTGTTTAATCAGAAACAACAATTTGAACACCTGTTCGCAAATTTCAAATCAAAATCAATTGCAGATATTTGGTACAATTAATCTCGAGTATTCCGAAAAGTATTTGATTTTATTAAGAAGAGAAATGAAAAGAAATTCAAATGGCGAATGTCCATTGCTACACCCTTTGTTTATTGGCTGGATTACTACTCCTATCACCCGCCATGCTGCTCTGCTTTCCCAGTTAAGAGAAAAATAGAAAATTGATGAAAGTTTTCAATGCTCTGTGTTACAGACATTGCTGCTGTTTCCGTTCGTTTTTGCTCGTCTTCTTTTTTTCGTCTGTCTGTCTGTCTGTTGACTGCCACTTGCAATTTTCTCGCACTTGACAAACGCAGAAAAGCAGAATCAAATAGCTTGAGAATACATACATATGTGTGTATGTATGTACATACTCGTACTCGTAAGATGGGAAACTTGGTGATTAGTAAACATTACACATATCAATAGTAAAACGATTTGTAAGAATTTTCTTTGGTGTTGAAGCAGCTGTAATACTGTAAGGCAACCCAAATGAACGAGAATTTACAACGCACTTTCAAAACTCATTAATTTTTAATGAATTTACAGAATGGAGCAGCTGAGACCAACTCCAGACCATTATGTACTCGAAACCCTTGGACATTTTTCTGTAAGCCAAAGAAAATTAACAACAATTTTGGGGCAAGTGGTCAGTTTTATGTCTGCTTGATTGATGGCAGCCCATTAGGCAAAACCTAAACTTACCACACAGAGAATTTTGCAGGCATCCAAATAACTTTATCGCTCTTGCAGCACCGAAGCCCCTCAGCAACTGTGGAAAGTTTGTTAGCATTGTAAGCATACGCTTTAGGTTCTAATCTTCGCACTCAACCATTGGAGTTTCTGTCAATCCAACTCCTGGCTATTCATCGCAGCCAATTGTTTGATCAAACGCAATTTCTTTGCCTCAAGCGCCCGCAGTTTTCTCCTCTGGCTGCTCAGCGAGAGCACACGCCTCATGACATCATTAAATCGGCCGGTAATACCCACGCACAGGTGGGCGGGGGAAGGATATGCCACAGGGGGATGCTGCCGCATACTCGTCTCGAGCAATGTAACTTGTTTTGACACATTCGACATATTATGCAAAGCAACAGAGATAAGGGGAATAAGTTATTTAAATCTGGTCGGAGTATTGGGGAGCGTCGCTATTTCGAGCAATCATCAACAGCGAGCTATAAAGCGGCCCATTTATACTTAGTAAGTGTACTATGGAAAATGTTCAATCGGATGAGCATTTTAGGAATATATGATGTACATTTTTCAATCTTAAATTATATCGCACATTAATTTCTTTTCATTTTTAACTTATTCGCAAATTTCGCTCGTCACATTCAAAGCAAGTTATGATTAATTCGAGTTTTAATATTTCTTAATCAGCTTATATTTTAGCTTACAAAAACAGTTTTTTTTTTCAAAATTTAAGTTTGAGCCAATAACTTAAATCATTTACATTATTAATTTCTCTTAAGATAGCTACTATTTTTTACATTTCGTTTTTTATATTTTTAATTTATACACACTATTGTACTAGTATAGTTATTTTTAAAGCGTTCCTTTTTTTCAAGTTGAAATTATAACATAATATATTATTTTATATCAATACGTTATGTATTATAAAATAATATATTACAATATAATATAAAACATTTTTAAATAATCTGTGTTGCCAGCACAACTTGTTGTATTATTAAAATGAAATTAAAAAATAAATAAAATGTTTTGATATTTCCTAATCAGATTATTACGACAACAGATATTTTGGATCATTTATGTTTAAGCTGAGTACATAAATCATTTAAATTATTAATATACCACATGAGAATTGTGGTGTTGATCTTAGAGCCCACAATTAAGACGATTAGGCCATACTCTACTATCTGATCATACTTATAATCCCTACTCGCTTGTCCAAAAAATAAATTCACTCTAAACCTCATTTAACTCTTTGCTTTTTGAAAATTTAAATATTTCAAATTTTATAAATTTGAATTAAAATATCTCACACACAAAATGAAAAAACAAACTAATTTTCTTAGCAAATATTTCATTAATAATTCAAATATTTATTTTAAATGCTATTCAAATATTTACCCGAAAATATTTTTTAAAATAAGTAGGAAAAACTTGTAAATGCTCTTAAATTTTTTTAAAGAAAAACTACCTGTATTGACAAAGAACTACTTTTTGCTTGAATTTAAAAAATGGAAATTTATAGCAAAAAATGTATAAATACTAGAAAGCTGCTATGTAAACATTTCAGCTGGAAAACTAAAAAGTTCTTTTTTGAACGTTTCTGCTTCATTGCAATCCCTGCTGCTTAAATATTCATTTTTCTCTGTTTCCTTTTGGAGCTGTTACATATTTTATGCGCATTGGTCATAACTCAACCAAAAAGGTCACTACACATTTATCACATTTTGGTAAAGTGTTCCGTATTTGCTTTTGCATTCTTTCACATTTTGTTGCCTACGAGTACTTTCTTCTATTTATGTAATACTTATGCTCGGCTTTTTCATCTGCGTATACGCAATTCAATTTAGATTGTACTTTCTTATTTATATTATGCGCACTGCCTTGTTGTCTGCGATATTTTCGTTGTTGTTTCCATTGTCCTTGCCACAGCCACTGGCACTGGCACAACCAGTTGGCACTGGCAATTGAAAACCGCAAGCAAACATTTGACATCCTCGTCCTCCTCCTCGTCGATGTCTTCGCCTGCGCCTTTATTGCTATTGTAGACGGTCTGGCGCAAGGCAACGTGGCGTATGAGTTATGTGCAATATGGTGAGCTACACACATACGCGTACCCAACCAAAACAATCGGAAATGCGTGTGTGTCTACGGCAGAGCGTCTTTTTTTTATGCGTATTGTATTTTTTACGCTTGTCTCTCTTTGTTTATTTAAATTGTTTAATTTGCATTAAATGACAAGCGGAAACAGCCGTCACTGAATTTATTTTGAACAAACAGCTTAGCTTTTCAAACGAGTTTCCGAAAATTTTGTTTTATATAAAGTTTTTATACGACCACCAAAAGTTTGCTTCAGTTCAACTTTACTGATGTAAATAAGACCTAAGAGTTCATTTAACAATTTTGTTATAATTTTACAGTCTCTTCAATTGCCTAAGAATTTAAATATATCTGTACTTATTTTGCCTGTTCTTAAATATTCACGGAGAAATATTTGTTTTCATCATATTTTGATGAACTGTTTCAGTTGAAGCTGAAACATAAACAAATGAATAAGTAAATAAAAGCTATTAGTTTTATTCAACCTCGGTTAGCTACAAAAATTAAATGTAAACAAATTTTTGGCCAAAAATATGAAAAGCTGGCAACTATGAAAAATGCATTTGAATAATTAAAATTTAAAAATAAAGAATTGCAAGTTTTTTATAAATGAATAAACACAATATGAACTTAATCAGAAAAATGATCAAGCAAACAGCAAACTAAATAAATTTGAGAAAAAAGTATTTCTTGAATGCAAAAATTTCAAAATATAAATTTACTGCACTCGACGTAGAATTGCTTACCAATATCCAAATTCCAAATTCAAGACCAAATTCGACCCGGACTGAGCCATTTAGAGGAGTAAAACATTTCAAATGTGAACTCTGAGCGGCATATTTAAATTATTGTTTGGTCGGAGCTTGTCTGGCAATTGAACTACCAGTTTGCTTGAATCTTTTTTGTTTCTAATGAAATTATGGCAACTAAATGATTAAAAATAAAACTCTAGGAAAACTTAAATGAATTTACACAATTATAACAACAAAATACCTAATGAAATGCTTTTTTTAATCGTTAAAGCTCAAATGTATTGAATCCCTGCTAGCAAAACCGCCCTTAATTTGTTTGCCATTTTTTGTTTAAAAACAAACAATTAGCTTTATTTGCATGTAATGTATAAAGAAGAATATTTTTAGAATTCATTAAACTGGATAATGTTATACCACGAAACATAAATTTATTAAATCTAAAAGATACATAGCACACAATTTTATATCGTTTTAAGCTCGTATAAATTTATTACGTGAAATTGGGATTTATAGTAAAAATATTATTATATCTTATATACTTATATAGTCGCAAAATTATTTCTGAATGAGACATATAGTTCCAAACGTTAATTCACACGCAATCTTAGATACCGCGTTTTGAATCAAAAATTGTCTTGAGACCGTACAAATGCATATAGGGATTATATTTCGCAGGATTCTAACTAAGCAGAGCCATTTTTGTTTTCGTAAATATCCCTGTTTGCAAATAAAAATGGCTCCCTTAGGGATAAAATTAAAAAAAATCAAATCAATCAATAAGCCAACTATTGATTTATTATGGGAATATGAAAACAATTGAATCACTTAAAAAAAAAGTGTGTCGGTAAATCGGTTTGAATTTTCGCCTGTTACCTGCTTCGAGTTTCTTTCTTCTATTAGTAATTAACGTAAAAACGTTACATACTGCTTAAAATGAAAATAATATCGTACGTTTTAGCCATTGAGAATATGCATTATAATAAAAGCATTTTTTTTATTTTTCAGCTCTCTTGTTATTTGTGATTTATGCGCCCCACAAACCGCTAAATAAAATACCAGAAACTAGATTCTAAACTCCACAAGCCACATAAAATGTCTGGCAATGGTACTACGGTGATTGACACATCACCAACCGATCAGGTAATATACTTAACATTTAATATTTTGAAATATTCCAGAAAAACACAAAACAAACAGACAAACAAATACAAGTATTTGCTTCAACAATTTAGTTATCTTGTTGACATTGTTTGCAAAAATAAAATATAGCATGATTTTGTAGCTTTACTGCCATTTTAATGTGTGAAGTGAAATTAATACAGTTGGCATGATCATTTGTATTGTTTTTAGCTTAGATTTTGTTGATATTGGTTATTGGGTTTCGTCCAGCCCCCAGCCACGTAAGCTCGAATGAATATTCATTTAAGCAATAAGCAGGCACGCGTATTTGGGCCAAAAATTATGAGCATATTATGAGCCATTTTCAGTCGTTTTCGCATAGCCCATAAAATTATTTATGTATTGCCGCCTTCTGATTTTTATTGCCTACACTTTGGTGTTTTCTGCACATGCTCCCATCATTTACATAAATGTTCCATGGCTAAATATTATTTATTACGTTTGACTGTGCCTTTTGTATTTCAATTTGCATGTGTTTTAAACTGAATAAATGCCACAGTGCCGGGATGAAGAACTCAAATCCGAATTAGTCAAATAAATATTTGCCACTTGTAGAAGCTAAAAGCTCAATTTATTTTGCTGCCAATATAATTTCCTTTCTCAAAAGCACTCGTAAATTGTCGAAATGATATTTTAAATTTAAATTATTATACATTAGATAAACAAGTGTCGAGAAGTACATTCATTTATATTTGTACTTAGAATGTTCTGGTTTGCTTAAGTCTTAGTATCACAAATGAGAATTGGAAATATGTGTTTTAATATTTTGCGTTTGAGAACTTTTTGTGAAAGGTTTTACAATTTTTGTTTATTTACAAAATGAAATGGAAGAGAATGCTTTTGAGTTCTTTTACAAATTGCAACTAATATTTGAAAAAAAATGCTGTCCTTTTTCATATTTCAACTAATATTTTTTGTTTTTTTTTTTTGTGTTAAATCTTTATTCATTATTTAAGATCTGTGCTAAATTTCTTTAGTGTCCAGTATATGGTCTGTCAATTAATGGTGAATCAGATCAGTTATGTAATTGATTAGTCAATCATTGATTTGTGCTGATTTTCTTGAAACAGTGCCGTATTTCTTTCTTTTACGCACCTTTATCGGGAAGTGTGTTCAACAATAAATGCTCCTTAAAATGCTTTCGCACATAAACAAAATATATAGAAAGTTTTAGGACATTGTTTTTTGCTAAACCTGGTCCGTCATAGCAGCTGATTTTAAACTGATTAGTACTTTACAGCTGGCTTATGCAAGGACGAATGAGCTACTTAGAATAATCTAGAGTATCACAAATTTTGTCCAATTGCTGCCAGACTAACGACCCTTAATAATATTTTTAAACCTATACTCTCCAGCTGGTTTGTGCAAGGACGAATGAGCTAATTAGAATAATCTAGAATAGCACAAATTTCGTCCAATTGTTGCCAGACTAACAACCCTTAATAATATTTTTACCTCATTGTTATTTTTGCAACATTGCTGGAATACTTTTTAAAATGTTTGTTTATGTAATTCAGTTTTCATATAACAGCATAACTAGATATTATCCACCTTCAGAGCACTAAAGCTTTTAGCAACAAATAAAAATTTGATCAGTTTTTTTTTAAAACTTAAATACCCCTTAACTAGCATGAACATGAAAGAAGTATCACCAGACTCTTTGAAAACTGTGCAAAGCTGATTAAAGATTGCAAAGAATATATTTCTTTCCTGTTACATTATTTTCTTAACTCTGTGCTAAGTTGCTAAGTAAATAAAACATTGATACACATTTATGTTCGTCAGCTGTTGCCAAAATAAAATGATGCTGCAGCCAAAACGTTGCTCACTTTTTTGGCATATTGATCATCCAGTAATCAAATAATGGCGGATGCTCAAAGCACTGGCCCTTCTTTCTGCAAATTGTTTGGTATTTACATATCATTTGGAATGCTCAGACGGCGACGGCTGCCAACTGACTGCGACTGCGACAGTGACTCTCAGGCCAGGCAACCAACGAACCCTGCAGCCCAGAAACTGTTTACATAAAAAAAAAGTGAAAGGGCCGCTCATTACGTTAGACACCACGACGAGGCAGCCACATACTCGTACATGTATCACCTATACACATACATACTATTTACATACATACATACATGTGTACATGTGTATATGAATACGTGTGACACAGTTGAGGGCCAGAGAAATTTCCTGCCTTGCGCTTCGTTTTGGTTTGCTGCCAAGTAGGCTAACGATTTTTCGCCCTTTATTGCTCAGTCAAGACGCCTGTGCTGTGCGGCCTGCATTTGGCCATTATTTGATCATCATTAGCGATAGGAATCGGTTCCATCTCTCTGCGCCAGTTTAAGTATGTGGGCGCTAAGACCGTTCCCGATGTTAGGGCTGATGATGATGATGATGATGACGATTCCTTTGTGCAGCGGAAAGTTGCAACAAAAGTTCGCCGCTCTTTGTGCCATGCCTGACTTGTTCGGCTTGGCTCTTTGCCTTGATTAAGACCAGCCAGGAAACACAATGTAATTAAATAATTGCGGTCTGCTCGCTACCAAACCGGCCTAATGCATTTTCCCCAAATTATTTTCCTGCAGTTGGCTTGGCTTACTTTGGTTTGGTTGTGCCATTTGGTCAGTGGGCTTGTGGTCTCGTAATTCGTGGAGACTGCCACCAAGCCAAGTCAAACACTTATCACCTGGCAAGAGCGATCCAATTAAACCACTTGTGTTTGCTCTTAAATAGAAGAGCAGCTCTCCACAAATGGAAATTACATTAAACTCAAGTATAATAGCTCAATGCAGTTATGGTATTGATTTGGCCAACGTGATTTAGGTTCAGACATTACAACAAAATTTTAACTGCAAAGTAAATTAATGTAAGGATATGCTTTAGATTTCATATAATTTATCAAATTTTCTTCATTTAACTTGAATGGAAAGATATTTATGTAGTTTAATGAAATAAATATTGAACCAATATTGTAAGTTACTATTCTTGATTAAGTTTAGAATGTGTGTTTACTATATATGAATTGATATTGTGGATTAAATAATAAGTGGTTTATTCTCCTACTTTATTATGCGTTAATCGAATTTTGAGCGATATGCATAGTTTTAGGTTAGTTAGGGTTGTAAAGGCTTGGACGAATGTGTTCATCCATCCAATTAGGCATTAGAGGCCTATACAACACCTAGATTTCTATGAATTTGTTTTTTAATGAAATTTGCTATTTTTACAATCTAAATTTTTAATTTGTAAAGTGATTTTCCGATTATTTGGGAACTTTAATATCATTGTAATATCATTGTTCTTTATACTATGTCGAGAATAAAACTACAAAGCATAGTTTCCGTATGAAAAAAATTTGTTAATACTAAGTTTTTTTAATTTAATCAAAGATTCACATTAGCAGACTTTATAAAATATGTGCGTATTATGTTAGAAGGAAATCTTCTTGCAAATTATTGCTTTACCTTATAAGCTTGATTCAATAAATTAACATAACTGTTTCCTATAATTGCAAATGAAAATGAAAACAAAATGAATGAACGACTTAAATATTCCCCATAATACAATAGCAATACCGGAAACATTTGCCTTTCTAAATATTAGTCACTTTGAAAGGAATTTCTAAATCACAAAAATTCTATTGATTGTTTTTTTTTTATTTAAAAAAAATGAGAACAAAATGAATGAGTCACTTAAATGTTCCATAGATATAGAATATTTTTTTTTTTTTTCTTTTTTTACATATATACAATTTATTAAACTAGTTTTCTACTACCAATATGGCAGCTTAAGCTAGTTGAAAGTTAGGGAATACAAAAGTTGTCTATAGTAAGCATCTATAGGACGCACTTATATCTATGTACATATATACAATATTTACAATGTTTTACATGAAAAATGATTATATTTTATGATATATACTATGTATTTTATACAAGGGCTCTTGTGGGGAGATCCTTTGGATGGCACTTCTTCAGTCTTCTCTTCTTAGGTTTGGACAGGAGCCGCCTCGCTAGTGCGTTGGGGTGACTGCCGAGTCGCTTCTCGTAATTGCAGATATAGAATATCAATAACTGAAATATTATTGCCTTTCTAAAAATTAGTCCCTTCGAAACGAATTTCTAAATCACAAAAATTCTATTTATTTATTTTTTTATCCTATTCAGTTCTTAGATCTATAATAATCGTATACTACGAGTGGACATAAAAAATCATCATATATTTTTGTAGTGAACCGATTGTTGTGTATGTCTTCATATTAGTATTATTATAAAAACTAAGATTTGATATCGAATTTCATATTAAAGTATTGCCTAGCTCTGGAATTTTTTTAATTGCTTAGTAAATGATATTGCTCTTCATATATGAAACACAAACCTGCTTACTAGGAGTTCAACAAAATAAATCAGAACATATTTTAAATTGAATTTAAATAGTTCAATTTTCAAACAAAACCCAGAAACGTTTAACACTCGTACAATTTGTTACTCTACATCAGATGCTTAAAATACTTACACACAATACTGATCTCCAATTAAACAAATCATATACATTTTATGTAGATTGAACAGAGCTCTCAAGTACAAGTATATATTTAAAGTCTATTTGTTATGAGTATATACCAGCTTTAGTTTTTGGCTGTTTAAGTAGAGTGCAGCTTGTTGATGTTTGCCTTTTCATTTTTCTTGCCTGTACTTGTCGCATCAATTGTTTTGCCTTTTGCGTTTCTAGCCAAGCACGAGTAACACACACACTGCCACACACACAGTCGCACACACACAATTGCCCTGCCGGCGACCAAGCAAAGTTTGGCAAACATTTAACAGTGTTGTCAACAAATTTTTATGCTCTCTTGTGCCAAAAGTATCTGCCGGCCACTGCAGAGGGTCCAGCCCATCAATATTATCGTTACCACAGCCACAAGCACGGCCACAATGTGTTACAGCAACAACAGCAAC